ATTTACGGTATTTCATTTCAGTGAGCGGTGCAATATGGTCGCACATTGCCGTCTGCTTGGTATAGTATAAACATAACACTTAATTCGAGATTTTGCAAAAGTGTTAAATTATTGTAGATAATTTGTTTTGATATTTTTGTGTTTATGATCCAAAAAAATGTGCAAGTAATCATTCAAGATCAAAGAAGAAAAAAATAATTTATGATAAAACAAGTAAGGAAGGGCTAAGTTCGGATGTAACCGAACATTTTATACTCTCGCAAAGTCAAATTTGAGATTTCTTTGTGGATTGACTGATATTTTCGGTAGAAGGTCAACTATAGGCACTGGGGCCCACATATTTAGTACTTAGGGGCTTGAACAGTTTTGGTTCGATTTAGACAATTTTTGGTCACAAGGTGGCATACTTTAAACGTATTATTCACGCAAAGTTTTACGCCGATATAATCATTGTTCCTTGATTTGCATACTGGAAAAAATCAGATGGAATTTAAAATGATGTTATATGGGATATAGGCGTGGTTGTAATACGAATTCGCCCATTTTCGTACTATAACATAGAAATAGGAGAATAATATTATGTACCGAATTTGGTTGAAATCGGTTAAGCAGATCCCAAGATATGGGTTTTCACCTAAAAGTGGGCGGTGCCACGCCCACGGACTAATTTTGAACGTGGTTCCTATAAAGTCATCTCATACCATCCCAAAGATAAAATTTAATGGATGATGATGGATGATTTATACTTAATACACTCAGCATTTGGATTATTCATCATTGTCTTGCGACTTTTGTGTTATTGTTGAAGCAAACAAAATGCCGGTCAAAAATTATGTCTGTGCGCGATGCTCCTTTGACAAAGAAATTACATATAAAAGTAACAACAAAGTGATCGAGTTGAAGTCGTAGAGGGTATGCGGATACCTCATTAAAGTGGTATAACCTTTATTTACCATGCTTTTTTTTGCATATTTTAGAACAGATTTACTGTTGTAATTAAAGTATAAAGATTTTATTTTTAATTTTAAAAACTTAAGATTTATAAGCAATTATAATTATTTATAGAAAAGAAAACTAAGGTGTTACTAAACCGTTTTTTGACTCGAAAATATGATTTTCCTACCAAAGAAAGAATCACAATACAATTTCGCATGCGCATCACCGTTTCTTTGAGTATCTGGTACAGTTTGTTCAATTCGCTACTCTTTAGCGCTTTCACTCTATTATTCACGCAAAGTTTTACCCCGATATATGTAATCATTGTTGCTTGATATGCATAGTGGAAAGTGAAAGAATCAGATGGAATTGAAAATGGTGTTATATGGGAAATAGGCGTTGTTGTAGTCCGATTTCGCCCATTTTCGCACTATAACATAGAAATATGAAAATAACGTTATGTACTGAATTCTGTTGAAATTGGTTAAGCAGATCTCAAGATATGGGGTTTCACCTAAAAGTGGGCTGTGCCATGCCCACTGTCTAATTTTGAACGCGGTTCCTATAAAGTCATCTCATACCATCCCAGAGTGTGTCAAATGTGTACCAAATAACAGTCTTATATCTTATTGCGGAGCTTAGTTATGGGAATTTATTTGTTTTTGATTAATGGCGCTTTGTGGGCGTGGCAGTGGTCCGATTACGCCCATCTGCAATACAAGTCTCACGGTACCAAGAAACATGTCTACCACGTTTCATAAAGATATCTCAATTTTTACTCAAGTTACAGCTTGTACGGACGGACAGACGGACGGACGGACGGACGGACAGACAGTCACCCGGATTTCAACTCGTCTCTTCATCCTGATCATTTATATATACATAACCTATATCTAACTCGATTAGTTTTAGGTGATACAAACAACCGTTAGGTGAACAAAACTATTATACTCTGTAGCAACAGGTTGCGAGAGTATAATGAACAAAATAGTTAAGCCACAGTTAACATTATTAGTAGGCAACGCTTAGTAGTCGTGATTTCTCGCTTTATATCACAGAATTTGTACACATCAGCATACATACCTTTAAGGGAATACACCCAGACTTTGCTTCATGTACTCTAAATTCATTGTTGTATTCTTCAAACTGCTCAAATTAAAACCTTTACAATTCAAACACAAAGTTCATTCGCCACAGATTTATTTCAACTAACATTTGTTTATAGAATATATTTTATATTTGAGTAATTAGAAAAGTTTGTCAAACATTTGTGAACGTGACCAATCTTAGCGCTTAATATCTCCATGCGAATGCAACTATATTATTTATAATCATAATTCATCGCACGAATACATATTTATGACGTCACACATACATAATGCATAAGTATTTCCAATATTTTATTTCACGGCAATTTGTACCAACTGTCGTTTAGAGTCGAGTATGCCCAAAAAGTATCACTACCGCTGCCAAACCAAAGCTAATTAAAATCGTATCATTTATATTTAAATAAATAGACGGTCGTTTATTATATTCAAAGCTCGCTGGCAAAGCATACGCTGTGGCTAATTGTGGCTGACGCGGCGTGCCGGTTGGTCGGAAGCGAATTCAATTACTGACGTTTACACAATTTTAAACTGGTTTTCATAATCCAAATGCTCACTGAACTATTATATGCAAAATAACGCTATAGTTGCTGGTGGAAAACCAATATGGCGGCTATTCACATAATGCGATTTGGCAACATATGGAGTTCGGCGTAGACTGCGGACTCTTTTGGGTGGCGGAAATGTTTATTTATAAAAAAGGTTTGGAATATTCAAGCGTACATACATATGTATATAAAATGAGAATAGATTATCAACAATAGAGGGTTCTTCCCTAGGTACTAGCCAAGAAACTTTTTTATATATTTTTATGATATATATATATATAATATTTTTTTAGCTTTAAGGAAAATACATAATTAACATAAACAATTCAAATTTAGTTTATTGCGTATCTACATTGGATGGCTGCAGGCTATCTTTACTCCTCATCTGGGTAGGAGCACCGTCCAGGGTAATGGACTCGTTCTACAAGCGAAATAAAGCGAGGCTTATGAATTGTACAGCGCTTTTAATTTATTTATATTGCTTCCAATAAGATCTTTATGACTTTTTAAATTAGGTCGTTTAGATATCAACCACTCAAGTATATTATCATAGTTGTAATCAATTTTTATATTCATTTGGTTAAGGACCTAAATGCGAAAAAAAATCTAATTGCGCCTTACTAAATAGTATTTAATTAAAAGGTTACTACGGCGCAACCCCGCTGATTTGTCACATTTTGCCCCACATACTTTTTGCGGTTATTTATGAGCAAAATTATCACAATATACACTCTTCAAACATTTTTTTCAACTTGAGTTTTAATGATGTAAAGTCAATCAATGCATAAACCAAATGTGTGACATATTCGTTGAATAAGAACTGTTTTTGAAGCTGTATATGAAAATATATAGCAAGCAGTTCTTGATCCATCTGATAATTTTTTTCAGATTACCAAAAGAGGCTAATCAACAGTGCTTTTCATGGTGATAGGTATTACGACAAAGTAGCTTAAGCTGTACCATTTGTTACTTCTATCTTCTAAATGGAAGAAAAGGAAAAGTTAAGAAATTCTTTAACCACATGTGTAAGTAGATCATTTGTGCACAAGAAGTGGAATAAGTGTGTTTATTTGTTGAGACTCTCTTTCGACAACTCGGTTACTCGGGGCTTTGAGCGCACATTTTAATTCAATTAAGGACATTAAGTCAATAAATATTGCAATTAAAAACTGTGAATAATATTATGTATACAGTTTTTTATGTAATTGGTTATCAGCTTTCATATCATTATTAAGTACGAAAAAAAGATTAATCGTGATTTATTTCTAAAAAAGAATTTATCTAAACGAATGCATAAGTTTGTAGTTCTGATGAAGAAATTAAGTGAATTAGCAAATGAATTTTTAAGTCACTATCAGCCACGAGCTCAGCTTTCAAGAAAAAACTATTTCCAGGACTTTGTGAAAACCTAATAAAGGAATGGGGTAAAAAGAAAATTGTAGTATTTTCCGGAATATTATTTTTTTCGATATTCAAATATATACACACCGATTAAGTGCCGCCAATTAGAAAAAAAAATATAAAAAAATATTATAATTCATTTGCTTTTAGTTAATTATTATATTTCGGTCAGTTTGTATGGCGGCTACATGCTCTAGTCACTCGATCTGAACAATTTCTTCAGAGGTTGCACCGTTGCTATAGACAGTAACCCACACAAAATATTTCCTCAAATGAAAAAGTTTTCCATACACGCATTTGATTCCGATCGTTCAGTTCGTTTGGCAGCTATAGTGGTCCGATATCGTTGGATCCAGGTAGACGGACGGACAAACAGACGGACATGACTAAATCGACTCAGTTGGTCACGCTTATAATTTTGGCGTTTCCTTTTGGGTGTTACCAACAGCAGGGCAAACTTAATGTATCCTGTTCAGGGTATAAATATGTTTGTTGTATTCGCTTAGATATTAATGTCTAAATGTTTAAGTATACGCACGTACTCGGGACATAATAATAAGTATTTACGTACATATGCACATATGTATACAGAGGGATGCGAATCCACCTAAAATTGAGTGACGTATAATTCTAAAAATTCATTCAACTGTTAAAATTGCTCAGTATACTGGAGATCAAAAAAATTAATTCGAAATTTGCGTTGTACCTATTTGAAAAACATCCAAAATCAAAGTCGAAACACTGCAAACAAGCTGTTGATTTTATCAAGCTACAAATATCCCTGCGTTTTTGCAACATTTTTATTTTATCTCCTCACTGCGTCTGCTGGGTCGCAATTTTTTGCACATGCAAATTTTTATTTTCTTTTTGTTTATCGCATTTCACATTTACATCTCACAAGTGAGTAAATAAGTAATCAAATGCAAATACGCCCGCAAATTTTGATGTAGGCATTAGCGAAGCGTGAGGCAAATAAAAGGCATTTGAGTTGAAAGTAATACAAACTTACGCCTTAAATCCCTCGGATCGGAGTTGTTGCTGCGCGGACTTTCACCCTTTTCACCGTTGTCGTAATCGTTTGATCCTTCCATCGATTCGTGGGAAGTGCATGTGGGACTCGCCGAGTCTGTGCGAAATGAATCGTTGCCGTTGAAAAGATTCTGAAGAAATTGAGATAGTAGATATTTGATGAAAATTTATTTTTATGTGTGAAAGTTTGTAAAAACCAAAGTGAGTTATGTATATGGAACTTTGTATGAAATACATTAAATGGAAGTAGATGTTAAAAATTACCCATAAGATGTCTATGTCGAACGATATCTGTAGCATACATTTTTGAGATATTTGTGGATGTGGTTCTCACATATCAGACTTAAGTTATTGTATTGCTTATCACTACACCATATAACCTTACTTACGCTGAGTCCAATACGACGCTAATTAAGCTCGAATACGAGAATAGAAGTAAGGAAGGGCTAAGTTCGGGTATACCCGAACATTTTATACTCTCGCAATTTGCGAAATTCCAAGGCGGGGAAATACTTTTAGATGCTGGAGAGCTTTTGTACTAAAGAATTTTGCGTAGGAGTTCAACATGTATTATCAAAAAAAAAACGAATAATTTAGACCAATTGAATTCATATTTAACACTAAACTACATTATTTTTATCAAAACTGCCATACGCATTTTCAAAGCTGTAGTGTAACCAATATTATGGGGTTCCTTAATTTTTCTAAGACATTAACGATATTGACTGAAATATGTTATACGATATAAATTCAACTAGAAGTTTGAAACACGATTTTATCCATTTTAGATAAAAGGTTACAATGCTCTCTCAGTTTCCTTAATATATCTCATATTTTGACCAATATATACGGTATAAAATCAGCTGGAAGTTCGAAAATCTTTTTATTGGATACATAGGGGCTAATGCAATTATTACCAGAACTTACTGTTTTAGCCAAAGGGCAAAGTATTATGAGAAAAAGAGAATCCCTAAATTTCAATAATATACCTCAGCGTTTTTCTGATTTTTTCGGTAAAAAATCAGCAATAGGCATTGAGGTCTATAGGTTCGGTATGTAGAACCTTGACAATTTATGCCCCGATTTCGACTATTTTTGAACATGAGACAACATACCTCACGGTCACTATTTGCTTTTTTATACCCGTATTTTATATTATTTTTATTGATACTTGACTTATATTCTGTATAGTGAAAGATTCATATGTAATTTAAAGGTTTGTTATGGCGCGGTTGTTCGATTTCGCTTATTTTCACACTGGGACATATCCATGTCAGGATAATGTTACCTATGGAAATTAATGGAAATTAGTTGAGTTATGTGATTTTACCTGAAGGTGGGCGCTGCCACACTCATGGTCCAATTTTTACAGCGGCTGCTGTAAAGCCCTAACAGATGTAAAATTTAGTGTCTCTGACGCTATTATTTATTGATTTATCTCACTTTTAGTAGTTTTTAGGGGACGACGCCAAGTCCACTTTGAAAGATTTTCAACCGAATAACACTTTTTGTACTCTCGCAACATGTTGCTAAAGAGTATAATAGTTTTGTTCACCTAACGGTTGTTTGTATCACCTAAAACTAATCGAGTTAGATATAGGGTTATATATATACATAAATGATCAGGATGAAGAGACGAGTTGAAATCCGGGTGACTGTCTGTCCCTTAGTCCGTCTCTGCTTCCGTCCGTCCGTGCAAACTGTAACTTGAGTAAAAATTTAGATATCTTTATGAAACTTGGTACACATGTTTCTTGGTACCGTAAGACGGTTGGTATTACAGGATCACATTAGGAAGGGGCATTTGCAGTTTAAATTTTTTTAAAAGAGGGCGTGGTCCCGCCCTTAAAAAGTTGAATGTGCATATCTCCTATACTACTGAAGTTATAATAACAAAATTCTCTGGAAACAAATTCTTTTAGCATCTCTATCGACGGTGTGAAAATGGGTGGAATCGGGTGACAACCCCGCCCTCTCCCCATATAACGGTACTGTTAAAAACTACTAAAAGCGCGATAAATCAAGCACTAAACAAGCCAGAGACATTAAATTTTTATCTCTGGGATGGTATGAGATGACTTTATAGAAACCACGTTTAAAATGTGCTTCTAAAACTGCTCGCTATATTGCTTTTTCAAATTGTCTTGGTTTTAAACTTTGATAAAAAAAAAGTGTTCTTAATTGAATTTATTATTATTAATATTTTATTAACACACTAATTTATTATTTATCTATTTAATTTTGTTCTACTTTCTCTTTTATTTGATCTTCATTCTTGTGGTTTATTATGTCTTGTAACTTCCCCAATTGTAACATTAAAGGCGAGTGATGGGTTTGCCCATATTAAATGTGCTGGACTGATTGGTAGAAACTTAGATTCTATTCACGACTGTAAGGGATTGCGTTGGTCCTGTTTAAATTGTAGATCTATTGAAATCAATCTATTTAAAGTTTATGGGGATACACGCAATGGCTTTAACGAAATCGGTCGTGATCTTGTAACCCTCACTGAAAAATTTAGGCACTATGAAAAATTGTTCAAATCTTTTAAGTGCCTGAATGATTCTCACGAATCCTCTAAACCTGCTCCTAAGCGTAAACGTCCTTCCGATGAAGTAACACTTAGTTCTTCTGTTCAGAAAAGAACGTCTCCTCCCAATGACCTAATAAATCTCTCTTCTCCTTGCCCTCAAGGTGATAAGCCGTCAACTTCCAAAGAGCTCAATTCCCCAAAAGCTCTATCTAATAGTAATAAGTGTCTCACAATTCCAGAGGATCCCCCTAATAACTTAGTAACATCTATTAAAAATTTGGTAGTTATTCCACTTAAAAAGTCTATATTTATTTTTAGACTTGCCAAATATACCTTGGTGGAGAACATTAAATCTTACATTTCGTCACGTTTAAAAATCGATGATATCAATATACTTAAATTTAACTTCAATTATGATAGAAGTATATCATCGTTTAAAATAGACGTATCTCTTGAAACATTCAAAAAGATCTTAGATAGTTCATTCTGGTCACCTGGGGCTTTTGTACGGCTTTATTTGAATTTAAGCCTAAACTTAAAAGTCAAACTGAGGAAAACATTGCTAAATTACCAAAAGCAACCACCGATATAAAAAACTGATTGGTAGAAATTCGCTAAGCATTTATTATCAAAATGTTAGAGGTCTTAATACAAAATTAACTGACTTGTATTTGAACAGTTCCAATTTTAATTTCCATATAATTGGATTTACAGAAACTTGGTTAAAACCTCACATTTTTGATAATGAGATTTTAAACAGCGAATTTAAAATTTTTAGATGTGATCGACTGAACAGAATCGGTGGAGGTGTTCTATTTGCCGTGCATTCCTCTATCTCATCTGAAAATATTATTGTTCCAGGGACCGACTCTTTTGAGTTTAAATGTATTAGAGTATACGTTAATAGTTGCTTTATTTATTTAACCGTATCTTATATACCACCCCATTCGGACTTATCTGTATACATGCAGCATGCTTCTTTAATAAATAGTGCTACCTCGATGGCAAATAATGCAGATTCAATAATTGTATTAGGTGATTTCAATTTACCGTGTGCTTCGTGGAAACCTTTCGATGACTATATCGTGCCGATTTGCAATCGGTCATGTTTTAATGAGTTTTTCGAAAAAATGTGCGAGTTGGGTCTGAACCAAATTAATTTGATTCCGAATAAATTTGGTAAATGCTTAGATTTAGTATACGTTGATACCTCTGCAAAGTGTTATTCAGAGTAATCCTCTTGTTCTACCAGAGGACTCATATCATCCTGCTTTGGAAATATCTGTCGAAATCTCAGGCATTGTACGGGATAATAATCATCAAACTTCGTGCTTCTGTACTCGGTTTAACTTTGCAAAAGCTAATTTTAAAAAGTTAAATACAGAACTTTCTACAATAACATGGCCTAATTATAATGGTGACATTGAATTGAGTGTCTCTCATTTTAATAACATTATTATGAAATTATTTGAAAAGTATGTTCCAATAGTAATTGTTAATAAAAGCAAAAGTATAGATCTGTGGTTTTCGAAAGAGTTATATAAATTGAAAAACAGAAAAACTCGAGCCTTTAAACATTTTAAAAAAACCGGTTCACTTGTCGACTATTCTAAATATTCTCTATTGCGTCGACAATATTTTGACCTAAACAAAAAATGTTATAATAATTACTTAAATAAAGTAAAAAAAAATATTGTAAGTAATCCAAAATCGTTTTATGATTTCGTCAACTCCAAACGCAGGATTTCCAAATTTCCGTCCGCAATGAAATACAAATCTATCATTTCAAGTGACAATGATATTATATCCAATATGTTTGCAGAATTTTTCAAGTCAAACTACTGTAATAATTCTTCCAAAACTTTTTCTTATCAGCAAGTGCTGTGTTCGAATACTTTAATTAACGCTCCACTTATTTCTGAAGAAGACGTCCTATTTAATTTAAATAAGTTAAAACCATCTTTTAGTTATGGCCCAGACATGATACCCTCATGCTTCCTAAAAAATATTGACAAATATATTTACTTGCCTTTGACAAGGATATTTAATTCCTCTCTTAAACACGGTATATTTCCTTCAATATGGAAACAGTCATTTTTAATCCCTTTGCATAAAAGTGGATTTAGATCCAACATTGAAAACTATAGAGGTATCGCAAAACTATCAGTTATACCTAAACTTTTTGAAGCTATCATCACTGACCATATAACCTGTTCGATTTCTCCGTTAATTTCCTCATCTCAGCATGGATTTCGTAAAGGGAATTCGACTATAACAAACTGACTTGAATTTGTAAACCATGTATCATTGGGTTTTAGGGAACATAAGCATATGGATGTTATATACACAGACTTTAGCAAAGCTTTCGATAAAGTAAATATCTCGATTCTCATACATAAACTTGATCTGCTGGGCTTTCAGCCAAGATTCCTTCAATGGGTATCTTCCTATCTTTATAACAGAACACAACGAGTGATATTTGGGGATACACCTTCAGATACAATTAATGTTTCTTCAGGTGTTCCGCAAGGTAGTCATCTTGGCCCGATTCTGTTCTTGTTGTTTATTAACGATATCTCTTCAGTAATAGAATTCTCAAAAATTTTATTATACGCTGACGACGTAAAGCTTTTTAAATCATACACTTCAACTGAGGAAAGGTGTCTGTTGCAAACAGACTTAAACAATTTGGTTGCATGGTGTGATAGAAATGATTTGCCATTGAATCTCAATAAATGTAAGACGATGTGCTTTTCCCGTAGATCTGTGCACCCCTTTTCTTATGTAATAAAACACCATATTCTGGAGCAAGTTTTTAACTATGTTGATTTGGGAGTTAATCTGGACCCTAAGCTTAATTTCAGACTTCATATTGATACCATGGTCTTGAAAGCAAAAGCTGTCCTCAGTTTTGTTAAACGTTGGTCTAAAGAATTTAGAGATCCGTATATTACTAAAACACTTTATACAACTTTGGTTAGACCTATATTGGAATATGGCTCTGTCGTATGGAACCCTAGCTACCAAATCCATTCTGACAAGTTAGAGTCGGTTCAAAAACAATTTTTACTTTTCGCCTTAGCGCATTTCCGATGGGATTCTAGGGTAAGTCTACCTCCATACACTAGTCGTTTAAAACTTATTAATCTACCTACACTTTCTAGTCGTAGGGAAATGCTTGGCATAATATTCTTAGTGAAACTTTTGAATGGAACTGTTTGCAGTTCTTTTCTCCTGTCTGAAATTAAATTTAATATCCCGGTTCGCCTTTCGAGACAGTTTAGACCTTTACTGCTAAAATCCTGTAGATCAAATTTTGAACTAAACGAGCCATTCCGCCGTATATGTCATGATTTTAATTCTCATTCCAGCACATTTGACTTATCTGACTCACTTTTCAAAATTAAAAAGACTTTATTGTTTTCTTTTAATAAATGAAAATGTAGCAATTTATTATATTGTAACTTTAGATCTTAGCTGTTGAAATTTTTGTTTCTGTAGCTGAGCAGTTTTAGATCTCAACACTTAAAAAACTCTCTTGCCTTTTCTGACTCGGCTAATTCCGCACGTATGCGGATTGCGCCCCTCGCGTCGGTTGGGCGGGAGGAGGGTAATCGTTGGGTTATTATTATTATTAAATTAGTCAGTGGGCGTGGCACCGTCCACTTTTAGGTGAAAACCCATATCTTGGGATCTACTTAACCGATTTCAACCAAATTTGGTACATAATATTATTCTCCTATTTCTATGTTATAGTACGAAAATGGGCGAAATCGGATTACAACCACGCCTGTATCCCATATAACATCATTTTAAATTCCATCTGATTTTTTCACTTTCCAGAATGCAAACCAAGCAACAATGATTATATTAGCGTAAAACTTTGCGTAAATAATACGTTGAAAGTATGCCACCTTGTGACCAAAAATTATCTAAATTGAACCAAAACTGTTCAAGCCCCTAGGTACGGAATATGTGGACCCGAGTGCCTATTGTTGACTTTTTACCGAAAATATCCGTCAACAAGAACAAGGCGGCAAGATCCACAAAGAAATCTAAAACGAGTATACCATTTGACTTTGCGAGAGTATAAAATGTTAGGTTACATCCTTCCTTACTTGTTTATCTTAAATTTTGGCTTAGTTATGGCCCTTAATACGTTTTTAATTAATGGAATTTTGTGAGCGTAGCAGTAGTCCGATGTCGCCCATCTATAATATTAAATGGGAGAAGGAATAGGTGTACCAAGTTTTATCAAAATATCTCAATTTTTACTCAAGTTAAAGCTTGCACAGACGGACGGGAGAGCAGACAGACAGTCACTCGGAATTCAACTCGTCTCGTCATCCTGATCTTAATACTACAGAGCTAATACAATCGGGAAAATCTTTAAACGGAAGTTTGATTATGAAACTATAGACCTTAAAGTATTAACCACTTGCGTCCACTTGCAACACCAACATTTTTTGATACCAATGAATATATAATATAAACGCGCAGACAATTAATTCGTTTCATAGTTCTGAATATTTGTACATATACAAGTATAATTCTATATTTATTTCGCGTATTTTGTGGTGTTTAAAAATGGTTGATGGAAAGAGGAGGCTTATACATAGAATGCCAATCCGCAATTGGCCGCATTTCACTGCAGTCCTAGCCTATCTTATTTTTCTTTTGCAAATATTATTCTAAATAGTTTTGTGCTAGGTTGCATGTAGAACTGGGAATCCAAATGGTTTTTACTGAGCTTAAATGAAGTCTAAAATACAATAAAAGTCTATTGATTGTGGCTTCTCATGACTATATGCAGTAAGGGCTCTGCAGCAGATTGCGAAAATTGTAGCTTGGGTATCCAGGAAAATGCTACTAACTTGCTGATTAGAGTAAAAACCCATTTGCTCTCGCCCCGATAATTTTCAATCTAGGCTGAAAAACAGAGTTGTAGCAAAAATGATAGAATACAAGATTACGACAAGAATTTACCATTACTTTTATCGTTTTGGGCTGTAACAAGATTACAAAAACAAATTCTACTATGCCGCCATCTTGTGACGGAATTGTTTTGAGTTGAGAAGTAGAAGTAGAAGCATAGAACAGTTTGTAAATTGTAAACGAAAACGTAAACACTTTTCTTAATTCGTGAAATATCCATACTTTATTAATTTTTGGTTAAAATATTTTAGTTAAATGAATAGAATAGTGTTGCGTGAAAATATTTGGGTTATTTTCAAATAAATACACTTATCTTTTTACAACATAATTGCCAATTAATTAATGACTAAAATGAATTGCGATTGTGAAGCTTGTATTTATTTAAATTTAAAGTATAAAAAATATTGATTTTAGAAAATAAAGTATGCGGTGGGGAGTTGCAATAACTATGATGCAAATAAACTATTAAAAACGATTTTTCTTAGTTTTCTTTCGGATATAAGAGTTTCCAAAAAAGCGAATAATAAAATAAACTACTGCTGGATGCATCGCAATAACAATCCTTTTAATCATGCACTTAGGGCTGTTTTCTCAATGTCTTGTTAATATTATCCTTAACCGCTGGTAGCTTAACTGAATGATAGCTTCAACTGACAGAACCGTTTTCACCTTGTGGTTAGCTGACCCATAGATAGTTTGGTGATTGTAAATGCGTGGTGAAAACAGTTCACAAAGCTTACATTGTGAACACGCAAAATTGTGTAAACTACATGAGCCATGTACTATATGAGTATGTTCAGACGAGGACTCTTATTGCCGCCCAAACCGGTTTTCGTAGGCGAGGAGACGAAGAGACCGCGCCTCTAGTGCTTAGATGGCACACTTTGCGTTATTTTCCGTAACAGCTCGCTGCCACCCAATTTTGCATTCCTTTTCATTTTGAAATTCCTTTCATGGTTGCAACAGCGCTTGGTTTCAAAGGAATATTTACCATATGTTCGGATATTTAAACGTTATTACCCGTTTTTGTATGTAATAAGAAAACCATTTTTCAACTTTCATTTGGCAATTATTTTCCCGCCAGATTATTCTATTCATTTCACTAAAAACTAATAAATTAAGTCTATTTTTGTTTACAATTCACATGTTGTTCTATGATTCTTCTTCTCTACTCAAAAGAATTACGTCAGAATTGGCGGTTGGCGTACTCTTATACTCATTTTAGAATTGTAGTCATTTAATTTGAAGCTACCTTCTGCGTGCGGGTTACCACAGCGGAATGCTACTTCTTTTTCTACTTGACATACACTACATATGTTATGTATCGTAGATCGAATTCTGAATGAGTTTCGTGGAAAGCTGCTCAATGCTTAACCTTAAGCTCGACCAGTGTAAGAAGACCCCTGTGATATGTATTACAAAACTTACCTGATCCAGTGATATGCCAATATATTTGGGTGGTGAAAACGCCGACGGCAGTTGAAAATTCGATAATACCGATGGTTTGCCGAGTCCGCGGTCGTTGGCAAAGTAACTCGCTGGGCCGCTATTCGCAGCCAACATGCCATGGTTGAGCGTCTGTAGCAGGTGGGGATGGAAGCTGTGCAGCAGGTGTGTGCCGTAGCTCCCGACAAGTGACATATTGTGCAAATCTTTGGCGTCTGGTAACTGCAAGAAAAACGAACACACAAAATGAGTAAAATGATGCTTTCTTCTTCAGCAAGCGGAAATACTAAGCAGATAAATGTTATAAAAATGCAATAAGCTTCATAAAAAGTGGTTAAGCTCTATATAACTATATACATGACGCCGACACTTTTTTATGTAATATACAATATATATGTATATTAGTAAGTTGTACTTTTTTCGAGGAAAGAGTTTTATCCTTTTGTTACGATAACTCTGGCATGTAAATAAACTATCACGTTTGATGTACATGCTTCGGGTTTTTTGCGAGAAAATATGAAAATATTTACAATAACCGAGCGAAATATTTTTTGTATGCATGACATAAAGTGTTGTTGTTTATTGACATTTCTGCTGTGCAGGGTAATGACACGTTAAGCTCGGGTCACTCGTCTTGTCTACGTCTCACACAGAATTACACTGCTAATATTTCGGTCAAGGGTTTGTTGTGGGTCAGTTGTGACCATTGTTGATTGCTTCAAGTGGAAATTTTATTGCCTTTGAATGGGTTGAGTTCAGTTTTTTTTGTTTTTTATGAGCCAAATCAAATTGTGTAGAAAAGCTGTCAATGTGGCAAGGATAATACATGGGCTTTTGAGGCTTAACGCAAGCAGCTTTCAAAAAAATTTGATTGCGTTTTGAATAAAAAGTAGTAAAGTGAAGAAAAAAAAGGTAAATAATTAAAAAATAAAATAAACTAAATAACAAAAAAAAAAAATTGAAAAAAGAAAAACATGTATTTCAGGAAATTTTTAAGAGGCTAGGGCAGTTTAGAGCCTTAAAATCAGGCTTAACTTTGTCAATTTGTTCTGGTAGTAACGAAAAAGGAATCGAATTTTTGTCTTTAAGACTTTATTAAACACATATTTAGGTGTATAAAAAATATTATATTGATACTAGCTGTTCCGGCAAACATTGTAAGGAAATATTTAAAAAAAAAACATTTTTTTTATGAAATATTTTTGAAAGTTACTAACACTACAAGTGTGTTTGAGATGTAATTATAATTGAAAAAGGAATGAAGATGAAATATACGTTTATTAAATTACAATTATTGATAGCTACCTATACATGGAAATATTGTAGTTCATGTTTCTACCATTAATTATTAAGTAACAACCATAGGAATGTGGCGGTCAATTGACCGTCAGTACTGACATAACAAATGTAAGTGTATCGGTGAATCCATCAGCAGTTTCTTGTAGGGATCAAAAGAACCTTATGTGTTATGAATGTATCAAAACACCATTATCTTTGAACAAATGAAATGTATCTAAACAAAAAATATATTATATGTAAGCAACTTTCAACTAGTAAGTGCACTTTTACACAGGGATTCAAAAGAGTCTGATGTTTTTCAAATTTTCTTTTGGTGTCGCTCTGGGCATTCACACAATAGAACAATATGCATGATACAAGTACCTACCCGCTAAATAGTTTCAAAGAAATACTAAAGACGGGAATTCTCTAATCCACAAGAATGTATTGAATATCCGCTACTAATATTTTCAAGGCCAAATTTATAATAGTAATTTCCTAATCTTTAAGTATTAAAAACTCATAATTTCTTTACTCCGTATTAAAAATTCATAATTTCTTTACTCCATAATCTATATCTTAATTTTCTCCATATTTACAATTTGTCATAATATTTCTATTATTCTATGCATACGTATTTGCATATTACATACAAAAATAGATAACAGAACTCAAATTTGCGATCGAATTCATTTGAAAACGAGCGCTCTTGCAACCATTCAAAAAAATTGAAAGTGAAAAGGAATGCTGAAAAGGGTAGCAGCGAGCTGTTGCGAACAAGAACACAAAGCGTGCCACCCGAACACGAGTGGCACGGTCCCTTCGTCTTTCCTCGTCGTCCCCTCGCCCACAATAAACTGGTATGAGACTCTTTCGAGTCCCAATGTGAAACGGCACTAATAAGTAAACCCACGGGTTAGTAGAATAGTACATAAATAGCAGTAAGATCTATATAACAAGTTAGTCTTAAGAATATCAATAAAGAATACATATGCGTTGCAGATCAAAAGTATATTTTTAATGACTCATATCGTGTAAACAATATTTGTTTTTTATTCATCATTTAGCACCATATTGGAACATTACGAGAAACAGTCGCTGCCAATACGACAGTATCATACTTCATTCCACGATTTATATTCAAGTATATCTGTATTGATTAAATCAGATGCACTCCTATTCGGTAAATTCATACCGAATTGACTGATTATTAAATTTCGCAATAGCAGTCAATGCTTCATTGTACATTGCGTCACTAAATGATATCGTTATATCATTGCACCTTGCATCAAAATTTTGTAATTATCCTACAACATTTGTGATCGGGCCGCAAAACATGTCGTCGGTAGTATAGCAAATAGTAGACGAGCCTGTGTTTCTGTGCCGTATAATGCTGCTTCAGCAAGCCAATGATTGTCATCTTGTAGCAAGCTTAGTGCAAGGTATGCATCTGTATGTGTTTGATACTGTTGTCCATTTACTTATTTTATTTGAATGAACCGGGGCATGCAACAACTGGTGTGCCTTGCTTGCAGACAGCTATTTTTTCGATTGAGCCTATGTAAAATAGTGTGGTACTTCTGAATAAAGGTTTGTACAAAGGCACCAAAAATAGCCATATGCCTACACAATTAAAAAATTCGGTAAGTGTAGAGCTGTTTGGTTCGAGCAAAATACGAGTTTTCGAGATGCAAATAGAAGTTATGTTAAATTCATTATGAGAATAAAATTAACTTGACTTGATGGGAATAAAATAAGCCGACTTCTTTTTGTCCCCATCCTGTGGTGTTTTCTAGTTGAGAAGGCTGATTGGTTTATAGAACTTTATATGAAAACTATTTACATATTGTACATTTTAGTTAAGCGTTGGTCTAAACAAATTTAGAGATCCGTATATTACTAAAACACTTTATACAACTTTGGTTAGACCTATATTGGAATATGGCTCTGTTGTATGGAACCCTAACTACCAAATCCATTCTGACAAGTTAGAGGCTGTTCAAAAACAATTTTTACTTTTCGCCTTAGCGCATTTCCGATGGGATTCTAGGGTAAGTCTACCTCCATACACTAGTCGTTTAAAACTTATTAATCTACCTACACTTTCTAGTCGTAGGGAAATGCTTGGCATAATATTCTTAGTAAAAATCTTGAATGGAACAGTTTGCAGTTCTTTTCTCCTGTCTGAAATTAAATTTAATATCCCGGTTCGCTTTTCGAGGCAGTATAGACCTTTACTGTTAAAATCCTGTAGATCAAATTTTGAACTAAACAAGTCATGATTTTAATTCTCCAGCACATTTGACTTATCTGACTCACTTTTCAAAATTAAAAAGACTTTATTGTTTTCTCTGAATGAATGAAAATGTAACAATTTATTATATTGTAACTATAAATCTTAGCTGTTGACATTTTTGTTTCTGTAGCTGAGCAGTTTTAGATCTCAACACTTAAAAAACTCTCTTGCCTTTTCTGACTCGGCTAATTCCGCACGTATGCGGATTGCGCCCCTCGCGTCGGTTGGGCGGGAGGAGGGTAATCGTTGGGTTATAATTATTGTATATGTACTACAATTATTATATTCGATTGCTATCATGTGAATCTGTGGATGCAACAGAATAATATAAAAATCGCGATTAAAAATCAGGGGTTGATCGTATAACTATGAAAATTTAGAATTGTATATATTTTTCAATGCTGAATCGTAATATAATGAAAAAAAAAATTTTAAAAAGAAGAAATATTTGGGGCGCACCGTCCTTAACATTAACTTGCTAATAAAAAAAGCAATAATAGTAAAATCGCATGCAGATAATATAACTATTAAGCTATAGTTAAAGTTTCTAGTAAATATTATATTTCCGATTGCTATTGTCGTCCGATTTGAAAAATGTAGTTTCCAGAAAACTGAGTTTAAATTTTTACATGCTGAAGCGATGATGCTTCGGCATTATAGCGGATTGGACAGGGAAATATTTTTTCACTATTCGACCAATTTTATATTGTTTTTAGAGTTCTAAAAAAATTCGATATTTTTGGAGATCCTAAACTGACTTAACTCCATAAAATAACAGCAAAAACCAAAAACAAAACCAAAAATACTACATTGGGACTCCCATATTTTCCAATACGCTAAGTTCTTCTGTGTTTCAACTACTTCTTAAAGTACTTTACTTGGTTGAATTTCCACTAAATTACACTTTACATATTCATTTGTCTTGAAGTTAAAAAATAAAAAAATAACAATGCAAACACTACAACAATTTTCACACATTTTCACAATATTTGTATAATAATTTGGCAAACAATATATTTGACAACTTTTAAAACTAAATCAACAAAGCTGTATACCCCATAGTTAGCACCCCTCGCTGAGACCCAGACTCACGCCGCACGCTAGAGGGTTGGTAACACACATGTTATACCGCCGATGCTTCGATTCAGCACAAATGTCGTTATCCAGACTCCGTCATCTGCCTGACGCAGTATCGCAATCACACACACACATACATACAAGGCATGTGTGGCGTTTGTTTGCCACATATCATTTACACAAATGACGTGTGTAATACTCTTGTAACTCACTCCATTGCCCCTCGACGGAGGTTTCATAATTTATGCGTGTGTGATAAGTAAAGAATTTAAATAAACTTGTTCATTGACAACAATTTTTGAAAATTGCTAGACTAAATGCGGCGTAAATGCGCCGTAAATTATGCAAAGATTATTACTTCGTTAAACGGTTAAATGTTATTGGAAAATCCGCGACACATGACTTGAGTAAGGCGATAAAGAAATTATATACCAACACTGATACATATGTATATACAGTGAACCAAAAAAAAACTTGTACAGAGAGATGCTTTGACTTTGAAGGGACTTTTCTGTTAAATTACCATTGTTAAGCTTTTAAACTGCAACCAAGAGTAAAAATATGAGATGTT